CAGGGCACCCGCACCATTGGATGGTTTGCTGGACCCCGAGGCCTTCCTGGTCACTTGAACCCTCCTCCATACCGACCTGTCCTTATTTTGATTGACTACTCTCCCTTACAGGAACTGACTCATCGCAGCGAACCTGACCGTGAACACTACATGGCTTTGGGCTAGTTCAAACCTCAAAAATGTTACTGGCTACGAACTTGAAGCTCTGTTCACCTGGTCACGTCAGATGGGACCAGTGGAAGCCGGCGTCCTTCCCATTGGAGAACTACGTTTCTGCATTTCAAAAAGATTGAGGACCCAATGGGACATCCAGTTTGACCCTTCGAATTTGGAGTTTCGCTATTGCGACCTGGAAGGTGATTCGTTCCAAGTCCCCAATGAGATGACGATCATGCAGCTTCTGGAAGAATACCGACCCGAATGGCGACTCCGACAGTACAACTACATTGAATCCTCCTTGCTCGTCCCGGGTACCTCACAGCCTTTCGTGCTACGTCTACGATGCAACAAAGTTACTCCCGGTGTGATCCTGCCCTGGTACGCTCACTGGCCACAAAAAGACCATGCTCGAGGGTTTGTCGTTTTACCGTTGACAATTTTTCAACACGAAGGATTCTGGGATTTCCATTTTGTTAGGCTTTGAACTATGGCCTTTCCGTGAACCTTGAACTACTTGATTGATGACTGGACCTCACTTTTATCATCATTTTGGTTATTTTTATTCTTGGGCTTGGCTTACTTTCGCAATTTCGTGATACCTCAGCTTTTGTCGCACCATTTCACGCATTTCTGATCGTTTCACCCATGGAGCATAAACGAGACGCTACCGTGGCGGGCTTGGCTTGGCCTTCGAATCCCAACCGTGGACTTGCTCCTACCAACCCAGATCAAGCACCAGACGGCCCGGCTTCTACACTATGTCATTCTGGTCTTCCTGATCCTACTACTGGGACCCCTTCGGCACCTTTGGCAGCTGACAATACAACTACCGACACGAACCACGGCCCATTCTGATACATATTCAGGCCTCGCACCTCTTGACGTCCCTTTTCCGACGGAGCAACGTCCTGCATACCACTACCTCCATCGTGCTCACTTCTCTTCCCGCGTGGTTCACCAGATCCAATTCAAGATCATTACCCACTCCAACAATACCAGAGAGCTATTCATTGAAGAGATCCCCTTGTCCGGGCTTTCCAAATGTCGTGATCCTGAGCACTACTTTTACGGTCTTTCGGGCAACTGGGAGTGGTCCCTGCGCACAGCGGATTATTGGCGACATCATTTTGAGATTCCTCTATCACCCTTTTCACAATGTTCCCATTGAGCCCACGGCACCTACGGAGGCAACCCACTTTACTCCGAAGATTCAGGACTTGGCCCAACAACTTTCCATCACTTTGAGGGCTGCTATGGCATCGGGGGAACTCAACGACACGTGGAGGATGCTTGAGGACATGAGCTTCCGTGACGCGATCCAAACACTTCAAGCTGGGACGCACCTCCCTTCTGAGTGATTGAACACGGCTCTGTACATTAGCACCGGAAAGGTTTTTGTATTTGAATAATCTTGCCAACTTTTGCTGCGTTGGTCATCCAAAAAATCAAACCCCGCTACACGCGGGGTGTGTGTGTGTGTAACATCTGAACAGATGTAAAACTTCTTTGATTCAAATCTGTTCACATTTGCAGGGAATCTTTTCACATTTGCAGGGGGACTGGAGCCGATTTGCCTATCCAGTCCAACGAAGCTATGGCATTTCGGTGGATGAGTGGTCTGATCAACCACTTGTACCTGCAAAACTCAGTTTGAACTGTTGACCATGCTGTTACACTGCGTTGTTTCGAACCTACACGGCTGCCACAATCTGTATTACATGCATCAGAACCTTCCTCAGATTTTCGCCGAAACCACGTCGCCGACAGTATTATGATTTTTTGACATATTTTCGCCGAGATCATGTCGCCGATGAACTTTAGGTCATTTTGGGAAACAATCGCCGAAACAGTATTATTTTGGATTTTCAACATGCTGGTCAAGACTTTGTGGACTCTGGTTAAAACTCCGTTTGACAATATTGGATACCCTACATCGTTTTCGAGAAGTACCTCATGTGGCTCCTTCATTAATCTAACGATCTAGGCTGGTTTGCATGTTTCAGGATTCAGTTCCTGCCGGATCATATAATGATCCATTCTTGTCTAGTGTGTGTGTGTTTGTGTGTAAAAGCTTCTGTGGGTAAAAGTGTCTGTGTGTAAAAGTGTCTGTGTGTAAAAGCGTCTGTGTGTAAAAGCGTCTGTGTGTAAAAGCCTCTGTGTGTAAAAGCGTCTGTGTGTAAAAGCGTTTGTGTGTGAAAGTGTGTGTGTGTGTGTAAAAGCATCTGCGTGTAAAAGCGTTTGTGTGTAAAAGCCTCTGTGTATGACACAGGTTATTTCATTTTATTATGGAAAATCCCACATAAATGGCCCAAAAAGATCGATACCATGATGCTGTAAATCACACATGTGACAAGACTTCACTAGTGAAATGTCTGCAAACGTTTGCACAAAAAAAAGGTCCAATACCATAATGCAGTAAATGAGACGCGTTATCTCATTTTATTCTCGGAATATCCCACAGAAACTATCAAAAAAGCTCGGTACCATGATGCCGTGTATGACACATGTCATTTCATTTTAGTATGGAAAATCCCAGATAAATGGCCCAAAAAAGCTCGGTACCATGATGCTGCGCATGACACATGTTATTTCATTTTATTACGGAGAATCCCACATAATTGGCCCAAAAAAGATCGGTACCATGATGCTGTAAATGACACATGTGACAATACTTCACTAGTGAAATGTCTGCAAACGTTTGCAACAGAGCTCGATGCCATCATGTGCTTGATGTCAAAAACAGAACAGTTTGAGTTCAGGACCATAAAATGTCATATAGAGACACTCTTCAAAAGCTTCTGTGTGTAAAAGCCTCTGTGTATGAAAGTGTGTGTGTGTGTAAAAGCATCTGCGTGTAAAAGCCTCTGTGTGTAAAAGCGTCTGTGTGTAAAAGGGTCTGTGTGTAAAAGGGTCTGTGTGTAAAAGCGTTTGTGTGTAAAACTGCCTGTGTGTAAAAGCTTCTGTGTGTAAAAGCATCTGCGTGTAAAAGCTTCTGTGTGTAAAAGCGTCTGCGTGGAAAAGTGTCTGTGTGTAAAAGCGTCTGTGTGTAAAAGTCTCTGTGTGTAAACGTGTTTGTGAAAGCGTTTGTGTGTAAAGGAGTCTGTGTGTAAAAGTTTTTGTGTAAGAGCGTCTGCGTGTAAAAGTGTTTGTGTGTAAAAGCGTCTGTGTGTAAAAGTCTCTGTGTGTAAACGCGTCTGTGAAAGTGTTTGTGTGTAAAAGCGTCTGTGTGTAATTTCACAACTTTCCCCTCCATAGCTCATATCAAATTCACCAACCATTCACCGACTATTTTTTAGGACTACCATACTCAGAGCTGCTTGAAGGACGTGTTTTTCGCTTTCGGGCCAACCGTCGTCTAGTTTTTCCAACACCTCTTGCACAAACAAACGTGCAAACAACATGGCTCATTTCACCGAAGGTGATATTACTTTATCGTAAAAGTAGTGTTTCACAAATTTGTTGTGTGATGTCACAACAAATGATGTTCGCTCAACTGCTCCGTGTTTCGTCACGGGTTTGCGCGTAAGAAAAACCAAACAAACAAACAGTTGTTGTTTTTTTGTTGTTGCCTGAGTGAAGTCTCAATCAACAAACGTAAAACAGTGGTTGCGCTGAAGTAGCAAAACAATCAACTGTTTTTTTTTGAGTGCACTTATTCCAAATCAGTCCGTTTTGCACCCTCATTCAAGTTTATGTCCTTGCACGCCTCAAGCAAGGGTGGGAGGGAGGGTGCAGTCTAATTTGTTGGACTCGCGAAAGGGGGTAGTTAGATGATTTTCACCCTCGTAGTTTCGTTAGTTGCCATGAATGGTCTGTCAACTGAGTTCATCAACAGTTGCGCCAGAGAGCTTGGGGCAAAGAGACTGCGATTACAGATGCCTTGGGAACTTCCACCTCTGGATACAGTTTTGTCATGCAAACAGCCTGCAGTCATTAGCAAACCGGAATGGGTGGATTTTCCTGGAAAGTTTGATCCTTTGCCTTCGAAGGTTGGACAAATCAAGTTGGATAGGTTCAATGCGCGCCGTCACCTTTCAGAGGTATCATGGGTGGGAGCTGAAAACAAGAAACACAATTTGGCTCTTCAGTGTTGGAAGGTGATTGTTCTGGACAGTACAATGCATACTGGACTAGGTAGGACTTTGGCGAAATGCATCGAACTGGGAAAAGATGATGAATACGTTTGGCAAGTTGTTGCAGATGCTTTTGCACACAAATCAACCTCTACGTTGAAGACCCGTGCATCATCTTTGTTGTCCTTTGGCAGATGGAGACGTGCAACTGGGATTGGCTCGACAGGAGGCATCTTTCCAGTGACGGAAGACATTGTTTATGAATACTTGTGCGAGCTTCGGAGGATGCATGCTGCGCCCTCGAAGGGAAAAAGGTTCCTGGAAGCCTTGGGGTTTGCCAAGGGACTCCTTGGGGCAGATGTGGACAGTGTGATCACGTCTGCAAGAGTGCGTGGCGTGGCATTGGGTTTTGTGCCAGTCCCTTCAAAGAAGAAGGATCCTTTCACTGTGGAGCAGCTCATGGTTTTGGAGCCTATTGCAACCCATGGTGCCGGGCAAGAGGCCATTTTTGCAGGTTACATGTGTTTTATCACACATTGCCGGTTGAGGTGGTCAGATGGCCAGCACTGCATAGGCGAACCTCAGCTAGATGTGCATGAGGGCAAGGGCTTCGTTGAGGCTGCACTGTACCACCATAAGACAGCTCAGAAAAAGAGGACTCATGTTATCAGATTGCTCCCAGTGGCTGGAGTGGTACCAGGGCTGACTGGCCTTGACTGGGTGAGAGCTTGGTTGGACAACAGATCGAAGCTTGGGCTGAAGGCCAGTATGACTCAACCTACAATGCCGTGTCCCATTTCAGGTGGTGGATGGTCGATGCAACCATTGACATCGTCGGAGGCCAGCATTTGGTTGCGAGAGTTGCTGCACCCATGGTCACCGACGTCAGTGCGGAACTTGGCCACTCACTCAGCAAAGGCCACAATCTTATCGTGGATGTCAAAAGCAAATGTAAGTTTGTCTTTGCGTAGGCCAGGCTTGCGGGGTACCATGTTGTGCCAGGGGATAAAAGTGCATTGGAGTATTCTCGAGATGCAGCCTCACCTATTTTGAGGCAGATTGAGGCTATTTTTATGTCTGTCAGGGCAGGCATCTTTGCACCTGATGCACCTCGTTCACAACGGTGGTCTGGAGCCTATACCTTGGATGAAGCTGTCAAGTTAGCCTCATGCCAACATGGTCCTTACGATGCTGTTTCTCTTTTTGGAAATTTGAACACCACAGTTTTGGAAGATGGTCATGTTGCTTCAAGTGGAGTTGAACCTGAAGAGCCAGAGCGCGTGTCCTCTCCGGTGCTTGGACCTCAAAGTGAAGAAGGACTTGTTTCTTCACAACCATGGCATGATGAAATGACTCTTGCAGAACTTGGAAAGATAAAAGCTTATGTTGCTGAAGTTGAGTCTTCAATGTGTCAACAGTTTCAGCTTAGTGATGCAAGTGACGTATCTGATTCAGTGAGCTCATCGTGTGACGGTGACAGTGACTCTGATGATGCTCAGCGTCGAGTGGAGCTGGACGGTGGGCGCAACTCCAGAGACCTTGTAGCGCCCTCGGACATTGCTGGGAAGAAGTGTTTCAGACTTGTCAAGTCAAAGAAACTGCATCTTGTTGAGAAGTGCGTCAGTGGTTCTGAAGTTTTCAAATGCGGACGTAAATGCAATTCAAACTATGAGAAGCTGGAGTGTGTCCCTTCTTTCACTGCACATGGATGTCTTACATGCTTTGGATGGAGCATGAATCATGACGGCGACAGTGCCAGCAGCTAGTGTGTGGCAGCACGGGTGGCCAAACTCTCAGACTTCCTTCAGTGGTCAAAAATTGCTGGCAGCAGGAATAGTTGTGCATCGTTTGAAACGCAAACACTTGTTTGATGCAGTTCCAAAGCTTGTGCAATTTCATTTCAAAATTGTAGTTCGAATTTCAATGACAAAACGTTGACAGCGAAGTTGTGTTCAAAGCTCGTTGCGACGAGATACGGCTCTCCAGTGAAGCCTACACAGCCTTGCAGAGAAAGGGCTGGAACACGTTTGGGAGCTATGCCTTCTCCATTTCTACAAATCCTGCACAGATCTCAGATGACGACTTTGACAACAAGGTATCAATCCCTTTGTTGGGAGGAGCAGACCATGGAGAGGCGGCACTGCTGCGGAGGCTTCTTTTTGAAAGTTACACTCTCACAGCAACGGAGTTGAGAAGGAAAGCCGATACCAGCGAAGCTGACGGCCCAAAGAAACTTCCTGTGCAAGAGATTGCATCTCGCTTTGCTGCCCTGGAGGGCAAGTTAGCCCCACTGAAGATCGAAAGTGTTTTGGAGCCTTAACACAGCTTGATCAACGGATTGGCCCAATGTTTGGACGATGGGCGATTGAGGTACATTGAATGGGCAAAATGCACCAGCAGGGCCTCCGAGCTTAACAACATCAAAGAGCAGGCCAATCTCAAAGTATGGAAGGCAGACTCTTCAGGGACTATAAAGCAGTCAGAGGCTGAAAGCTCTCTGAGGTGCAGCATCAGCAGTGAGCTAGACGTGCTCAACGCACTTCGCCGTCGTGGAGCGGCATATGAGCTTTCAAAGCTCATGAGCTATGAGGTTCACGACACGATCATCAACTTGCTTTTCAATGAACTACAACGTGAACCTTTGGAAGGATTCAAGCAGCCAACAATGAATCAGCTGGCCGCTGCAGACCGGGAAATCCATCTACGCTTAGCAGAGCGTACGCGGTCAGGCCTACCTTTGGGCCCATCTGGAGAGTTGCCACTGGACAAGTGGGTTCCTGAGGTGTTGTTGCTTCCTTCGGTGATGTGGCTCCTCATGCCGAAGCAGAAGGCGCTGGTGGCTGACAAACCCACCGCTGGAAATCCAAGTGCAAACGCAGGCCCAAAGAGGACGCAACCTCCACCTGACAGAAAGGTGAACCCAAAGAATGGCAAGTTCGACAAGTTCAAGAACAGACGTGGGTCCAAGACGCCCATGCCAGTGCAACTCAGAGGTGGGACGCCAGTGGACGCCGAAGGGCGAGCCATATGCTATGGTTTCAATCTTGGAACCTGCCATGAGAAAGGATGCAAAAGAGGCAGACATGTATGCTGCCATCCAGGCTGCTTCTCTGCGGCCCATAGCTTCTTGAACCATGACAAGGCGGCTTGACTCCAGTCAGAAGTGGCTGTGAGTAGTGTGGAGGCGAAGGCCTCACCAAAGTTTGGGGCACTGGAAGTTGGTGCCTCGTCTGTCGCGAAGGTGACAGACCCATTTTCCAAAAAGGTGGACGTCATACAGGGCAAGCCTGTGACCACATGTTGTTCGGTCGAAGGACATGAACCATTTTTTTCGAAGCAGCTGAATGAGGCTGCTGTTGGCCCTCGGGATAGACCCGTTGCGGCAGACCTGAAGGAAGCTTCAGGCCATGTTCAAGATGGGCGCAAGCCCGCTCCGTTTCTACTTGAACTTTTTTGTGGAACAGCAGGTGTATGTGCACAGTTCAGATTACAAGGAGGCAGAGCATTGGGAGTGGATCACCACCTAAAACGGCACAAATTAAAAGCTGCTGCAGTGAAGCTTGACCTGACGCAACCTTGGGTACAACAGTTGATCATCAGAGAGATCAAACTTGGACGCATCTCTGGCGTTCACCTTGGGCCTCCCTGCGGGACTGCGTCAAAAGCAAGGTGCATACCAGTGAAAAGGAAATTGGTACGTAAGGGTGCTCCGAATCCAAAGCCCTTGCGAAGTCCAAGATACCCATTAATCATTAGGGTTTCCATGGCTGAAAGGCGTGAGCCGAGCAAAAGTCCTGGCCGCAAACTGCCTCTACAAGTTTTCTGCAGAGATAGTGTTACTGTGCGACTCACTCAACATACCTTTCACTGTGGAGAATCCAGCAAACAGCCTTATGTGGAAGACACCTTTCTTTAAACCTTTGCTGCTGCGTTATTTTTTCCACGTGGTCGATGCCTGCGAGTATGGATCCGATCACAAGAAAGCCACTGGTTTTTTGGCCAACTTTGATGCACCGCGTTTACAACAAAGGTGCAAAGGAGATCACGATCACAAAGCATGGTCCATTCGCAGATCGGAGGATGGTGAATGGAAGTTTGACACGGCTGCTGAGGCTGAATACCCGAGCAAGTTGGCACGTGAATTGGCAGCCTCTTTCATTGACAAAATGATGCAGTCTGGTAAGTTTCAATTGCATGAAGAAGTGGAGGACTACGCCATTAAGGTGTCAGCAGGTGCACAGCCGAGACGGACCAGAGGTCTCCTTTTGTTGTCAGAATACAAGTCCAAAGTCGAAATCACCTGCAAGCCATCAGACTTGCCACCTGCGACAATCCCCATGGACGCAGAACCACCATGGCAGGGCATCCCAGTAGGTGCCAAGCTGTTAGATTCCAAGCCGGTGCAAGTAGAAAATGGGGAAGAAGGCCGGCTGAAGGTAGAGTATGGCATACACTTTTCACCAGCTGAGTTTATTGAGAAAGCCAAGGAGCTGCGACACCCGTTTGACATGCCATTGCCGCTGGAAGAGACCAACATGGCGTCGATAGCCTTCATTTTGAGCGAAGGGCCTTTGAGAGTTGCAAAATACAGGACAGACATGTTGAACCACTATCTGGCACGTGCAAAGGCCTTGCATGCTCAGGAACGGGCACTACATGAAAGCTTGGATGAACAGATCAGACCTGTCATGGCGTCCAAACGCCTCTTGCTCTTTAAGGAGATGATGGACGACGCTGGGGTACAAGACAAAGAGCTTTTTTCAGACATGTGCAATGGTTTTCGTTTGGTAGGAGACCTGCAGCCTTCAGGACAGTTCCAACAGCAATGGAAGCCGGCAACACTGGGAGTGGAGCAGTTGCAACAGACTGCGATTTGGGCTCAGAAGGCAGTAGTCTCCTCGTGCAGAAGGTGCGATGAGGACAGGGAAATTGCGGAAGCAGTCTGGGCAGAGACCTTGGATCAGGCATCAGCTGAAAAACAGTGGGTTCGTGGACCTTTCACTGCAGAGCAGGTCACGGAAAGACAAGGACGCCATTGGATCCCCGCAAAACGCTTTGGAGTTAAACAGGGCGGCAAAGTGAGGCCTGTGGACGATTTTTCCCAGTACCTCATAAACGCTGCTGTGACCTGTCATGAGAAGATTGACCTGGAAGGCATCGACCACATAGGCTCCACAGCTAGGTTTTTTCTTGGTGCCTCGCAAGAGGATGGATCGTGGCAGCTTCCTTTTGGAGATGGTGTCAGTTATGGGCAAAAGTCATCAACTTGGTCCGATGCCGAATGTGCGGACCTCCAAGGCAGATGCTTGGACCTTCGCCAAGCATACAAGCAATTAGTGCGACACCCAGATGACTCCTGGGCTTCAATATTGGCAGTGCTGAATCCCGATGATGGATGCGTTTACTTTTTCGAGGCCGTGGCCTTGCCATTTGGGGCGGTGAGTTCAGTATGGGCGTTCAATCGAGCAGCCCGTGCACTACGCACTATACTGGCCAGGCTATTGAAACTGGTCGTCACAAACTTCTTCGACGACTTCTGCCAGTTGGAGCTGGGTGTGTTAACAACCTCAGCATGGAACACGGCAGAGTTGGTCATGCAGCTGCTAGGATGGGAAGTTTCTACAGGAGAAGAAAAAAGACGGCCCTTTTCGAAGTCATTCGAGATCTTAGGAGCCATAGTCAGCTTCCCTATGGACCAGACAGGTGTTGTCACTGTCTGCAACAAGGAGTCACGACTGGAACAGTTGAAGCTGCAGCTGATGGAGCTGCGTGAAGCTCAAGGCACGGCCATTTCCAGGACGAAGGTCGAGTCGTTGAAGGGCAAGCTGCTATACGCGGCAGGGCACACCTACGGGAGGTGCACCCAGCTGGCCTGCCAGCTGTTGCACCGTTTTAGTGGCATGGGGTCTATGGTGCAAGTTACGGCTGAACTAGTGCATGCCACCTCACATGCGTTGGAGCTCTTGGCGCAGGCCAAACCCAGGCGTATCACGGCCTGGTGCGATGTGCCCCCAGTACTGGTTTTTACAGATGGTGCCGCAGAAGATGACATGGCTCGGGTGACACATGGTGCCCTGATCTTGGATCCCTGGTCAGGTCAGGCCTTTTACTTCGGAGACCACATCGCCACGGCCTTTGTGGAATTCTGGACAAGGGCAGGCAAGCGACAGGTTATCTCACAGGCCGAAATATTTCCGGTCCTAGTGGCAAAGGAGACGTGGGGCCACATCCTAGAGAACAGGAGCGTGTTGTGGTTCTTGGACAACGACTCTGCCAGACAGTCGTTGGTGAGGAACTTTTCACCCGTGCTGGATAACTTTTGCCTGCTCCAGTTCAACGCTCAGCTAGACATGTTGGTGCAAGCGCGCCATTGGTACGCGCGGGTGCCATCGAAGAGCAATCCTTCAGACGATGCATCAAGGCTGGACTTCAGCCCATACAACTTTGCTGAAAAATCCACTCCATGTTACACACTGGCCATGGAGGCGCTCAAAAGCTTTCAGAGGCTTACAGAGAGTGTTGAAAAGGGGGGAATCCGGTAAGCACTGAAAACTCGTGCAAAGCTGTTGAAAAGTCAACATGGGTCAATGCGATATTTTCTTGTTTTGGTCAAAGGACCATACAACGAGCAAGCAAGCATTTTTTTGGATGCGTCACAAAGGTGAAGACAAGTTTGGTGCACAACTGGATTTGCCCCATTTCGAAAACCAGAAGAAAAAAAGACGTGAGCGTTCACCGTTTTCACTTTCAGCTGAAGCCGTCAATCTGGATCTCAGTTTGATTTGCTGTCATGCTCTGTCTTGATTTGCATGTTTTTATATATATATATATACTTTAGAGTATATATGTATATATGTTTATGTTTGGTTTTCGCGTACCTTTAAGTAAGTGAAGGTTTGAAGGTTGAGCGCGCGGAAACACAAAATGCGATAAGGCTCATTTCACCGAAGGTGATATTACTTTATCGTAAAAGTAGTGTTTCACAAATTTGTTGTGTGATGTCACAACAAATGATGTTCGCTCAACTGCTCCGTGTTTCGTCACGGGTTTGCGCGTAAGAAAAACCAAACAAACAAACAGTTGTTGTTTTTTTGTTGTTGCCTGAGTGAAGTCTCAATCAACAAACGTAAAACAGTGGTTGCGCTGAAGTAGCAAAACAATCAACTGTTTTTTTTGAGCGCACTTATTCCAAATCAGTCCGTTTTGCACCCTCATTCAAGTTTATGTCCTTGCACGCCTCAAGCAAGGGTGGGAGGGAGGGTGCAGTCTAATTTGTTGGACTCGCGACCCACCCGATATTTGAAATATCCCCCACCCTGCGAGTCTGGGGGGGGAATCCGGTAAGCACTGAAAACTCGTGCAAAGCTGTTGAAAAGTCAACATGGGTCAATGCGATATTTTCTTGTTTTGGTCAAAGGACCATACAACGAGCAAGCAAGCATTTTTTTGGATGCGTCACAAAGGTGAAGACAAGTTTGGTGCACAACTGGATTTGCCCCATTTCGAAAACCAGAAGAAAAAAAGACGTGAGCGTTCACCGTTTTCACTTTCAGCTGAAGCCGTCAATCTGGATCTCAGTTTGATTTGCTGTCATGCTCTGTCTTGAATTGCATGTTTTTAATATATATATATACTTTAGAGTATATATGTATATATGTTTATGTTTGGTTTTCGCGTACCTTTAAGTAAGTGAAGGTTTGAAGGTTGAGCGCGCGGAAACACAAAATGCGATAAAAACAACATCAGAAGAAAACAACACACCACTAAAAAAATTATACCAGCGTTGACCCCAAACAGATGTAGAAATTTTCAATTAAATTGTACATGCGAACCAAGGAACCCGAATGGGAGACAAGTGTGGGAGACAAGTGTGGGAGACACCTGGGAGACCAGTGTAAACTCAGCCCAAAGAACCCAGAGTGTGGGAGACAAGTCTGGGAGACAAGTGTAAACTCATGCGCTCCCGGATATCCAGAGTGGGAGATACGTGTGGGAGACAAGTGGGACACAAGTGTAAAATCATGCGGCCCAAGACACCCAGCGTGGGAGACAAGTGTAAACTCATGCGGCCCAAGGCACCCAGAGTGGAGACAAGTGTGGGAGACAAGTGGGAGACAAGTGTAAACTCATGCGGCCCAAGGCACCCAGAGTGAAAGACAAGTGCGGGAGACAAGGGGAAGAGAAGTGTGGCCTCATGCGGCCCAACGCACCCAGAGTGGGAGATAAGTGTGGGAGACAAGGGGGAGACAAGTGTAAACTCATGCGGCCCAAGGAACCCAGGGTGGGAGACAAGTGTGGGAGACAAGTGTGGGAGGCAAGTGTGGAAGACAAGTGTGGGAGACAAGTGGGAGACAAGTGTAAACTCATGCGCTCCAAGACATCCAGAGTGGGAGACACGTGTGGGCAACAAGTGGGACACAAGTGTAAAATCATGCGGCCCAAGACACCCAGAGTGAGAGACAAGTGTGGGGGACAAGTGGAAGACAAGTGTAAACTCACGCGGCCCAAGAGACCCAGAGTGGGAGACAAGTGTTGGAGACAAATGTGAGAGACAAGTGTATACTCATGCAAGTGTGGGAGACAAGGGGGAGACAAGTGTAAACTCATGCGGCCCAAGAAACCCAGAGTGGCAGACAAGTGTGGGAGACAAGTGTGGGAGACAAGTCCACAAGTGTGGGAGACAAGTGGGAGACAAGTGTAACCTCATGCGCTCCCAGACATCCAGAGTGGGAGACACGTGTGGAAGACAAGTGGGAGACAAGTGTAAAATCATGCGGCGGAAGACACCCAGAGTGGGAGACAAGTGTGGGAGACAAGTGGGAGACAAGTGTAAACTCATGCGGCCCAAGACACCCAGAGTGAAAGACAAGTGTGGGAGACAAGTGGAAGACAAGTGTAAAATCATGCGGCCCAAGGCACCCAAGTGTGAGGGACAAGTGGGAGACAAGTGTAAAATCATGCGGCCCAAGGCACCCAGAGTGAAAGACAAGTGTGGGAGACAAGTGGAAGACAAGTGTAAAATCATGCGGCCCAAGGCACCCAAGTGTGAGGGACAAGTGGGAGACACGTGTAAAATCATGCGGCCCAAAGCACCCAGAGTGGGAGACAAGTGTGGAAGACAAGTGTGAGAGACAAGTGTAGACTCATGCAGCCGAAAGAACCCAGAGTGGGAGACAAGTGTGGGAGACAAGTGGGAGACAAGTGTAAACTCATGCGGCCCAAGGCAACCAGAGTGGGAGACAAGTGTGGGAGACAAGTGGGAAACAAGTGGGAGACAAGTGTAAACTCATGCGGCCCAAGGCACCCAGAGGGGGAGACAAGTGTGGGAGACAAGTGTGGGAGACAAGTGGGAGACAAGTGGGAGACAAGTGTAAAATCATGCGGCCCAAGACACCCAGAGTGAAAGACAAGTGTGGGAGACAAGTGGAAGACAAGTGTAAACTCATGTTGCCCAAGGAACCCAGAGTGTGAGGGACAAACGGGAGACAAGTGTAAAATGATGCGGCCCAAGGCACCCAGAGTGGGAGACAAGTGCGGAAGACAAGTGGAAGACAAGTGTAAACTCATGCGGCGCAAGGCACCCAGAGTGGGAGACAAGTGGGAGACAAGTGTAAGCTCATGCGGCCCAAGGCACCCAGAGTGGCAGACAAGTGTGGGAGACAAATGGAAGACAAGTGTAAACTCATGCGGCTTAAGGCACCCAGAGTGCGAGACAAGTGTGGGAGACAAGTGGGAGACAAGTGTAAACTCATGCGGCCCAAGACACCCAGAGTGGGAGACAAGTGTGGAAGACAAGTGTAGGAGACAAGTGTAAACTCATGCGGCCCAAGGCACCCAGAGTGGGAGACAAGTGTGGGAGACAAGTGGAAGACAAGTGTAAACTCATGCGGCCCAAGGCACCCAGAGTGCAAGACAAGTGTGGGAGACACGTGTAAAATCATTCGGCCCAAGGCACCTTGAGTGGGAGACAAGTGTGGGAGACAAATGGAAGACAAGTGTAAACTCATGCGGCCCAAGGCACCCAGAGTGCAAGACAAGTGTGGGAGACAAGTGGGAGACAAGTGTAAACTCATGCGGCCCAAGGCACCCAAAGTGGGAGACAAGTGTGGGAGACAAGTGGGAGACAAGTGTAAACTCATGCGGCCCAAGGCACCCAGAGGGGGAGACAAGTGTGAGGGACAAGTGGGAGACAAGTGCAAACTCATGCGGCCCAAGGCACCCAGAGTGGGAGACAAGTGTGGGAGACAAGTGTGGGAGACAAGTGGGAGACAAGTGGGAGACAAGTATAAAATCATGCGGCCCAAGACACCCAGAGTGAAAGACAAGTGTGGGAGACAAGTGGAAGACGACAAGTGTAAACTCATGCGGCCCAAGGCACCCAAGTGTGAGGGAGAAGTGGGAGACAAGTCATTGGCAAATGGCCCTAGAGGACCAAATGGCCGCTAGGAAACGTCGAGTTCAAAATCTTGGAATTTGATATTAAATAAGTTGTCTGAGAGTCAATATAAGTACATTTTCGGGGTAAACAGTGTTATTATAATGTTAGTGGTTAAATAATCTATTTGAGTCCATTTGAGTTCCCCCTGAGACTGTTAGAGCTTCAATTGAGCCTCTTTGAGATTATTGCATTCTGTGCTGCTAAAAATGTAAATGAGTAAAATCGAGTGACTTCGAAAGAAGTTGAGGTAATTTATGTTGCCCGAAAAAAACAATGAAACAGCACTTCGAAAGAAATTGAGGTGATTTGAGAAACCCCACCCCCAACAAAAACTGTGTTTATTTTGTTGATATACAGCTGTTGCAGTAGAATGAGTTCGCTTCAATTCTGGTTTCCTAATGCACACTACGCTGATGAATGAAAATCAGGACATGATGATTACCGGGGCCCCTTTATTTCAATCGCAACTTTACCCAATAGATTATTTAGTATACACTTCCATATGCATGTGGCCCTGCTCCTTTGGGTTGTTTGGTTGTTTGTTCCCCTCACCCATTCTGTGAGAGCATTTGAGTGAGATTGAGTCAGAGTGAGAGCTTCCAAGAGACACTAGTCCCCCATTATGTGAGAGCATTTGAGTACATGTTGAGCAGCTCTGAGTGAACAAATCCTTGGACCGGAGAAAAAACCATTGAATTTGTTTGGTTCCATTTGGTTGCAATTGAGGCCATTTGGGAAACTGGACAATTAACAACTAAAATTTGCAATTGAGACAGTTTGTTTTTTTGAAACATTTTGAGTTTTTTTTCTTTTTGGTTGTTGGCTATTTGGTAATGTCTTGGCATCAAGTTTTGGACATCTCCATCAGCCACTTTTTTCATCCCAGCGAGCTGTTCTGAGCCAGCTAAAGTGCGCACAGAGAGCGTGCGAAATATTTTGAGATTTCAACATCCGAAAATGGCCCCTCAATTTATCTCAAAAAATGGCCGAGAAAAATATGTCAATTTTGGTTTGGTTTAAGTGGTGCTTGAATGCTGCATGAGCATGTTTGAAGCCTTTTGGCTGGTTTTGAGGTAAAAAAAAAACTCAAAATTTTGCATTTCCTCAAGGCCATTTCCTCAAGGCAGGTATTTTGCCTATGAACAAGTGTATAATCATGCGGCCCAAGACACCCAGAGTGGGAGACAAGTGTGGGAGACAAGTGGAAGACAAGTGTAAGCTCATGCGGCCCAAGGCACCCAGAGTGGGAGACAAGTGTGGGAGATAAGTGTGGGAGACAAGTGTAAACTCATGCAGCCCAAGGCACCCAGAGTGGGAGACAAGTGTGGGAGACAAGTGGGACACAAGTGTAAACTCATGCGGCCCAAGGCACCCGGAGTGGGAGACAAGTGTGGGAGACAAATGGAAGACAAGTGTAGACTCATGCGGCCCAAGGCAACCAGGGTGCGAGACAAGTGTGGGAGACAAGTGTAAACTCATGCGCCCCCAGACATCCAGAGTGGGAGATACGTGTGGGAGACAAGTGGGAGACAAGTGTAAACTCATGCGGCCCAAGACACCCAGAGTGGGAGACAAGTGTGGGAGACAAGTGGGAGACAAGTGTAAACTCATGCGGCCCAAGGCACCCAGAGTGGGAGACAAGTGTGGGAGACAAGTGGGAGACAAGTGTAAACTCACGCGGCCCAAGGCACCCAGAGGGGGAGACAAGTGTGAGGGACAAGTGGGAGACAAGTGTAAACTCATGCGGCCCAAGGCACCCAGAGTGGGAGACAAGTGTGGGAGACACATGGAAGACAAGTGTAAATTCATGCGGCCCAAGGCACCCAGAGTGCGAGACAAGTGTGAAAGACAAGTGTGGGAGACGAGGGTGGGAGACAAGTGTAAGCTGTAAACTCATGCGGCCCAAGGCACCCAGAGTGGCAGACAGGTGTAAACTCATGCGGCCCAAGGCACCCAGAGGGGGAGACAAGTGTGAGGGACAAGTGGGAGACAAGTGTAAAAACTCATGCGGCCCAAGGCACCCAGAGTGGGAGACAAGTGTGGGAGACACATGGAAGACAAGTGTAAATTCATGCGGCCCAAGGCACCCAGAGTGCGAGACAAGTGTGAAAGACAAGTGTGGGAGACGAGTGTGGGAGACAAGTGTAAGCTGTAAACTCATGCGGCCCAAGGCACCCAGAGTGGCAGACAGGTGTAAACTCATGCGGCCCAAGGCACCCAGAGTGGGATGCAAGCCCGGAGACAGAGGCAAAATCATGCGGCCCAGGGATGCAACCCTTTGAAAGGAGTAAGAACCCCATACAGGTAAACCTGTTTGGGGAATAGACCACTTTTGAAACTATTTTCAGGCCACGTTTCTCCGGCCGGGTTGCGGCCATATGCTTTCCCAGCAATCCTTTCAAGTTCAGCGGTACGTCGGTTGGGACCAGAATGTAGCACACACTTCATGCGTCGACACTTTTTGATGTTTGTTTGGGCAAACCATGTTTCAAAACAAAACATGAAACCATGTTTTTTTGTTTGAAATGCGGGTGGGCAGAAAAAAAATCTGCCCAGACGCATTGGATGTGTACAAAATTGAGAGCAACAACTCACAGACTTGAGGAAAGGTGCGTATGACAAAGCAGAAACCACAACGAAATGTGTAACGCTTTGGACTTTGCGGCATTTGGAATGAAAATCACATGAATTTGTTCAGGCCTTATGGCTCGTGAAAACCGTGCTCCCACTTGCACAATCCCATGACACCATCTGCCTTGGTTTCACGTATGATGTGTTCGCCGTTAATATCAATTTGCATCCCTCACAACGGAAAAAAATGCCGTGGCCACCGATATTTCCAATGTCCAAAATTCAATGTGGACAAACCAACCCACCTGGACCCAAGTTAACTGGTGGCCCCAAAACAACCAGGTGCCCAAATTTACAACATGGGTTATAGCAGATGCAAAAAAAAAAAAATGACATTGGTTTTTGCGATGCTCGGGGCTGATGGCGGCATCAATTTGCACATGAATTCCAAGACAAGTTCCCACGTGAGTCCCTCCAAAGAAATGGCATTGTTTCGCTTGGTACATTTGTCCCTTCCATTCCGGTGGCATTTTTTTCACATTTTTTCTATGAACCTTTGCTGCATGTCACCATTGATGTTGGTTTTGGACTGCTGAAAACGCCAGCATCGTGGCTGTTTTTTGGCAACATCGGGCTGACAATTTGCGGATTTTTTCTGTTTTTTTGTGCATATTCGATTTTGTTGACAATTGAATGAACATGGATGCAGTAATTTGTGCTCAAACATTGCTTTGGTAAAAACACACGCAATATGATTGAATGATGTTGCAACCAGAGAACATACATCATTTGGCACAATATGACACATTGAAAAAACATCCAAGAACTCAATTGTTTGAACATTGAATTTATCCATTTCACCGCAGATGCGCAGATGATGCAAGATGGAGGACGGTTTCCCGTGGGCGACTCGGCGACTTAACGAAACACTTGGTGTTTCGGACGGTTTCTCAGGACCTGGCGAGCGCTTTCCAGAGCGACTTCTTTGAGGCTGTGAAGGCGTCCCAAGTTGCCGCCATGGGGAACTCATGGGGAACTCATGGGGAACTCATGGGGAACTGGTGGCACCTACGACCTACGGTGAAACGTCAAACCGCCATGACCAGGTGCTGGAAGATTTCTCTTCTTCAGTGTGGACCTTATGACAAATTTTGTGTGTCGTACAAAATTTTGTGTCACCGGTTCAGTTTCTAAAGACAGCATTGGCCACTTATCAAAGGTCAAACATGCATTCTATTTGATTGCGAAAATGGCCAGACATGTCGGTTCGTCGGTTTGTTTCGAAAATTTGGAACCACGGGAATTTCACCAAACGATTTTTTTGACAGGAACCAAACAACCAGAATAAAAATCATGCCGCATGCCATGTTTTCTCTTCCCCATATCTTCCTTATGGTGTTTACTTCTTGTGCTGTACCACACCGAATGCTGGCGCTGGTGGAACCATTGGTGGCATGAGGACAATGCCCTCAAAGATGCCATGGCAGAAATACGGCGGAGGATCACGGCCAAGAAGTTCGCCATCCATTTGCTTGTCTGTATGATGGAAAATCATGGAATATCTACAGTTAAAACCCTTATAATTAGCAGCAAAAACCATTGGTTTTTGACTACTGAAACCACTGTGGTTGTGGTATGGATTATGGCAATGACGGATCATGGGTATGTGGACCAAGACTTCGTCGAATTTTGACCCAGGCGACCCAGCTGAATGTAGTCACCAATCCAACTTTGAGAACTCTTTGGCTCAGACGAATTTGTTCAATGGAAATCATTGTTTGAACTAAGTCTTCAACTTGTCTGTTACATTTTCGTTTCTTTTGGACATATCTAGACATATAAGATATTGAATGATTTGAATGGATCTCCAAGATAGTTTCCATGTGTTTGAAAGGAAAACTCAGAAATTTTCTGCTTGTAGCTGTCCTCCATGCCATGGTGGCCATCGCAGTCTGTTTGCATGATGGAACATGACAGATGATGCGGCGGTTTGTCGCTATTGCTTGGAAGGTGAAGGTTTAATTACCGGCCAGGTGGGTGTTGGTCCAAAACTTTCCCAACTTGGCTTGATGTTAGTCAAGCAATACGATCCACTAGCCTAGCCCCAATGACTTACCATAAATGGGTGGTATAAACCATCAAAATAGATGTTTTACGTTTTTTTTTAAACCAACAGTGCTTGAAACGTTGGAATGAACAAAACTCCATCGCCAGGTCTGTGCCTGTCGTGGTTCGTTTGGAGCCCACGCCAATTGCTTGGTGAATTTGGCCATCAGCCGATGGCCGAAACTGGAAGTTTGGCGGAGCTGCAGGATCTGTGGCCAAGTCTATGTTGGAGTTGCCCGCCTGTCTCTGGCCCAGGCCCTCTTTGCCAAGGTCCGTTGGAAAACTGGCAGTCAGAGCGTTCTGCGTCAATGGGTCGTGCAGAACCTGATCTGTGCCCTGTATGAAGTGGGAAGGTATCAGGAGGCCGCACAACGTGCCAAAAGCGCACTGGACAGCTATGCCAAGATGTCCAAATTGAAGCATCCCAGAGCCCTCAGAGTTGCCACGATCTATGCCAGTTCCCTGCGTGAAATGGGTAGATATGAAGAGGCCGTCACCTTGCAACGACAGACCTTGGCGCAGCAGCGCAGTACGTTGGGAAATGAACATCCAGATGCGATCATTTCGGCTAACAACCTGACCAGTTCCTTGAGCCTGTTGGGCAACTGGGAAGAAACCATCTAGCATTTGTTTATTTCCCTGGCATATGGAGGTTTTCTAAAATATAAATACTGTGAATACCCCCAAATCATTCAGAATTGGATCATTTTAGTATATTTTAGTATTGAAACCCATGGTTTTGGGAATACCCATTTTAAGAAAACCCTGATGTGATGGCTTGACGCCCGCGTGAGGCAAGAGAGAAGAAGCCACCACGCTTTCACGGCAAACCTTGGAAGTGATGAAACGCTTCTTTGGGGAGGACCGCAACCCCCGAAGTGGAATGAATATTTCTAATCCTGCCGTCAACCGCATAATAATCCCCAATCAAGTATGGTTTATAGTAATCCTCCAATGGTGGGGTTTTATGATTGTTTGGGTGTGGTCTACGGTTTTGGGTTTACCTCATTATTGTGGCCCTCCATGCTTTCAGGTGATTTTCTGAATCAACATTTGCCACTTTTTTCCCACTAGAATGCGGAAACATTTTGCGGTCAGACTCCTCCATCATTGTCATCGGTAAATTTCCTCCATGATACCCTCCAAATCCACATCGTTTTTAAAACATCCATCCAAAAACTCTCAAAATAATCTATAAATCTACAACTCCCTTGAACAAATCAAGAGATTATCAGATGATCATAGTTTGTTCACCATTTTCATCTATTTTCGTGAAATTGATCCGATTCTTCCAATTTTTTTGGGATCCGCTTCGCAGACCCATCCGGACGCCCTGATCGCTGCCAGCAACTTGGCGGCGCTGCTGCAGGAAGACGGCGTATACGAAGAGTCTGCTGAGGCAAAAACCAGGGAAACATCTGGGGAATTTGGATGAATTTCGGATGAATTTTGAAGTTAAACAAATGGTTTGGGAATTTCGGCATTTTTTTTTGGGGACTAGTTGACATTAGTTGACCTTGTTTTGTGTGTTGGTTGCCTGGATGTGGAAGATTTTTTCAGTGCATGAGGATCAATTTCGCGGCAATGGAGGTTTGGAGAAGGAAAATTGCTGGTCTTTCTGGGTGTGAAACATTATTTTCTCTTGCAATCCCGAGCTGGACCCATACACCTGTTCGCCGAGCGTGCGCCGGCAGTCCCACATTCCACTGGACGGATGAATGTGCACTTGAAAACTGTTTTGTTTGGATGCTGGAGAACTACGGGTTAAGTGGTGAATTTACCAAACTGCCACTTAGTTTCCGCAGAAACAATTAAAGATAATTCCAGCTGAGCTTTTCTTCCAGGTGGCCAGACGAACGCTTGACATCCAGCGACCACTACTCGGACCGGAGCATCCTGATGTGCTGTGCACCATCAACAATCTGGCGGCTGCTTTGCACATGCAGGCACCAAAGAGTCCGTGCAAAACGACGCAGAGATCATGGGTTGGCCTTTGAGCATTGATGATTCGAAGTGTGATGCATTGTTTTGAGATGTTTTGACATTATTAATTGTTAATCATTATTCATTATTGATTCATGGATAATTATCATGATTAACAATTGATTCATTATTAACATATATAGTATTATAGATTATTTTTGATTCATGGCCTTTGAGCAGTCTTTGGATCCTGCTCAGGGCAAGCGCTCCGAGGCAATCTTCTTCCAGCAGGACAGTTGCGAGTTGGCGTTCGATTGATGTCTCGTTCGTTCGAAGTTCTTAAAAGCCGCGGTTGCAGCCTGTTTAAACATTTTAAACTAGGAGACCTTTGACATTCGCCGGCGTACTTTGGGCCTTGGAAATGTGGAGACATTGGTGGCCGCACACAACTTGGTGACTTGCCCCGCTGATCCCAGCTGTTTGTGAAGGTTAGCGGCACACAGCTTCAGTTTGTCCTTTGGATTTTGGAACTTGAATGTTTTTGGCCTCAAGTAGTTCATATTTGGACCCAACACTGGCTCAATACTTCGCTTCACAATTTGGCTGCACCACAGGGTCCACGGCGTTCCGCAACGTTCAGGCCAGCATGCTGCAGCAGCAGGGCCGCTATGCAAAGGCAGCTTCACTGCAGCGTGAGACATGGGAGGTCTTGGTTTGCACTATGGGACCCCGACATCCAGACACATTGACAGTGAAGAGTGCTTTGGCGTCGACTTTGGAACAGTGTCTTGGCTGGAATGAACCATGACAAGTATTGAGAATTCTGCCGGTTTGCCTTTGGCACTTGCTAACTAGATTATTCAGCAGATGTGAAAGATCTGAGATGAATGCAGATGTACATAGTCATGGGGCTAGCTGAACCCTCACTGTCAAACCATCAAAAAGACCTTGAACAACTGTGGGCGTACAGGGTTCGGGTGCAGGTTGCATGATCCAGCTGAGCCAAAGAACGACCACTTGATTGGAGCCACCCCTGTATGACCCAAAACATCATCAAACCAGTGCTATTTCTCTCACACTGAGGCAGGGACACCTGATTGAAGTATCCTGGCTTCAAGAAATCTGCTGGCGCTTGTACTCTTGTACAATCTTTTCCTGTCCCAGATCTATATTAAGACCTATTTGGATGTTGGTTTCAAACCTTCTGTATATATATATATATGCTTTTTGATTATAGCAATCCCAAAAACGATAGACCAGTGGAAAGAACAGAAAAGATCTAAAAAGAAGAGTTACAGAGAATTAAGTATGGCGGAAGCAGTAAAGTCTACAAAAGCATGTAACATCAACTTGTATTAAACAGTAAAGAAAATGGATAAATCACAGATTTCCACGTTTTTTTTTTTTTTCGGGGGCTAGCCATGGGTGAAGCCTAGGCAGAGCAGCTGGGTCGTGAAGCCCATGAACAAGAGGAAGAGGAGCGCTGCGTTGCCATGTTTTTGCAGCAACAATCATGGGGGTTATACCACAATATAACCATTATATATATATATATAACCAAAATATCACCATTATATACCATAATTATATCATAACAACATGCAACAACACCTTATTATCATCATAATTATAGATATAGGGGTTGTTATCTCGTCAGCGGTGTTAACACGCCAGGGCTCCCGGTAGCAGCACATCTCAGCCCCTTTTTCTTTGAGGCCAAGAAATCTTGAGCCAAACAGTCGCGCCAATCGCACAACTGATGGCCCCTGCAGGTTCTTGTTTTTTTTTTTCAAACCCTTAGATTAGGAGCTTTACAGTTAAGTGTTGGGGTGAACCTTTTGGGACTTTACAGCCCTATACATCCTCCACCCTGTACACTATGAAATCGATCACGCGTGCTTATATCCCAACTTGTGGAGATGATCACCCCAAGTGCACCCCAAGTACAATGAAGCTGGAACTGGGTGCATGTCGCTTCACTTTTTGTTGCAACTGGTGGTGGTTGCGAAAAAGGCTCGTCAACCAAGCTGCAAAATGATTTCCATTCGTATTAGTTTCTCCCCATTTCTGCAAGAAATACATTTCTTTGGCTTCCATCCCAGCTAGAGCACCAGTTTTCCCCCTTCCTTGGAGCTGAAAACCCCGTCCACCCTCCGCAACGGCTTTTTCAGGCGCTTGGGCGCAAGCACCCGCGCACCCTCGGCAGTGCGCACAACCTCAGTAACATCCTGAGGGAGCGAGGCCAGTACCGGAAGGCCGTGAAGCTGCTTGAGGAGACCAAAGCATCACTGGAGGAGGCAATGGAAAGGGAAGCAGATGGTTCGAGATGGATTTTCAAACTGATTCTTTATCATAGTTTCTTGAGAGGAAACATGGGCACCATGTGGAAGCGTTCAAAAAGTGGGATTGGAAGATGTTCATACTGCTTTCGTGGCCAAAAAGTGGGATTCCATCAGGTCTGTGGAGTGTATCATCCGCGAAGTCTGGTAGCGGCCGCTGATCTGAAGGTTTGTTAGAGGCTTTCCCGATGGCCCGATGGCCATTGACATTCCTATGTGACTGCAGCATACTTTAGATAGGTATCTAATTTCCATTTGCCCATCTGTTTTCAACTGAAGTCTCTAAGAATCTCCAAGATATCTAAGTTCCATTAGCTTTGCTGAAGTTTGTTTCATGGCCATTGATGGTTCAAGATGCATTTGGTGAAGCACTGAGATGGATAATCTCTTGATGGTTCACCAAGGGTTGCGCTTCTCAAGACGACTGAACGCAGTCCCATAATTTTGCAGAAGGAAATCTACAGGAAAACCCCCCAAAATGGGCAAACACCCATGGCTGCCGATCATTTTGATGTTGAATCAATCCATTGATGATATACAACTGATAGTATATGACAATATAAGACAATATATCACAAAGCATGATAAAACATGAGAAGATATGATAATACATTTTGATTTATGATATGTATATATATATATGATACGATATTTGATACTGAATATTGCTTCGGACTCTGGGTTCGAACTGAGGCGTGCACTTTGGCGAACCTCCTCCTGAAGATGGGCCGCTTCCAACGTGCCCTGATGCTGGTAGTACCAGCTCGGAGACTGCAGGCGTTAAACGCGTAACGTGGGTCACGTGGGTCGGTGAGTCCAGGGCTGGACATTTTGGTGTGTCAATGGGGTTATACCCAAAAAAGAGTCATTTAAAATAGGGAGAATGATAAGAATACATGATAATCCATTGGAATGGGGGGGTAGTCTAGTTTCAGAAGCATTTTGGTCTGAGAATTGGGAATCTAGGTGAAAAGAATTGGGAAGAGACTGAAACTACTTCGCCATGGCATGTGATGTACAAACAAGTAAAACCACAATAGCCTGTAAAGAGCATCAGTGGTTCTATTGACACTAGTTGATTGAAGTTGGGATTGGACCAATTGTGCGAGATCCAAACCTTTAATGTCTCCAAACTGGCTTGAAGCTCAATTTATCCCACAAGAGATTCCTCAGATTCCTCCAGGAAAAGTCTTTGGGTGCGAAACATCCTCATGTTGCAGCAAGCACCTGCATCGTTGCAGCTGCACTACGCGACTTGGTTTTCGACAAATTGAGATCAGCTGCATGAGTTGCCACCGGACATAAAGAAGCGCTGACTTTGAAAGGTCAGTAAACAGCTTTTCCTTTGCCAAGGATGAATTTCACTCCCTGTGGGATTATTAGTTTCGTTGCTAAATACCATTTCATGGTTAAGACAAGACACTTTTGGTGATTCCAAAATTGGCGAAGAGTGTTTCAGCGCCCCTCCCCTTGTGACCGATTGGGATTGCGGTTTCTCTGCTTTCACAAGAGGTGCAGTTCATCTAAGGTGACTTGGCACGAGTGCATGAAGGTGCCACTCTGCCAAAAATCCTGGAAAAAACAGACCTTCCAGAGCTGGCGCCTTGATGGAAGACGCAATGGGTCAAGGGTAAAGGTGATCGTAGATTGTGGGAAACATAATATTCATCTGCAGATTGAGATTCAAATCGATTCAAATCGTCAACTTCATAAACCATCCAATTTCGGCAGTCATTTGATCGCGTTCGCCTACTCAGATCTGGACCCATGCCTCATGTGACACATTGTGACATTAGTAAATCCCATTGAATGTTTGAGGGATCAACCAATGCCACAATTCATTGATTGGCTCTGTTTGGTTAATTTGAACACATTTCCTATTCCATCGTGATGGATGAAGATTTCATGATGCGTTCTGATTTGTTGGGGCAGGCTCACTTTTCACCTTGACACAACTCTGAGGAGACTCGAAGCGCTGCAGCGGCTGCTCTGCATTTGGCTCAGCAAGCCCTGTCCATCCAGCAGGAGGTCTGCAACTGGGACAGTTTGTGTAGTGTTAAGTAGACAAATTTTCGTAGGCCATAAGGATCCATAAGGATCCATAAGGGCCATAGGGCCATAAGTGTTTCAACAGACTGTTTTTTGCCACCCAAATTCTGTGGCAGATCTTGGGAGCAAAGCATCCCAACACCTTGGACGGGAAGTTGCTTCTGGCCGAGTGCTTATTGGACCTGGGAAGACGGAAGGACTGCGCAACGTGTGCAACGTGTGCAACGTGTGCAACGTGTGAAGGCCAGCAGATTAGCGGTGATTAGCGATGCGCGATGTGCTGAAAGTTTCTGGCTGGAAACAGGTGTCAAGGTAAAGAATCATTAAATAATGGAAGATCTTGGCACTAATAATGGAATGTCATACTTGTAAGTCTTACAAATAATCATTATATAAATATCTCCATTGACAAAGCCCTTTGTAAGACAGTTGAGATAGCTTGGACAATGGCCGCTGAACTCCAGGAAGCATATGCAGCTGCCTTGTTCGCTTTTCGGGTGAGACGTCGTGGCTTTGGGAAGCAACATCCCAGAACGACCAGACCTCAGATGACTTTGGCCATGGGACGTGGACCTAGATCATTGGCTGATTTTATTAGTGATGATTGTTTTCAAGAGAAGATCTCCTGGCAATCTGAATGGAGGACACTCCATTTCGCTTAGTTCGACCTTTTGGCTAAAGAGTCTAGTTTTGAGCAACTCCGGCCCACTTTAAGACTTTTGAACTTTTGGTGGCCATGGTGCGTGGAGCAAAGAAAGCTATTGCTGTCGGAGTTGCGGTGGCTGTTGCATGCGGCCTGCAGAAGCACTTGAATTTTGTGCCTGGGCCTCGGCATGCTGCTCCAGTGGCCGCAGCAGCAGCGAGCATGATGATGGCTCCTGCGGCTTTTGCTGATGAAATCGGCGATGCTGCAAAGAAGCTTGGGGATGCCTCCTACTCTTTTGCCAAGGAAGTGGACTGGAACAATGGCATTTTCCTGCAGGCCCCTGGCAAGTTTCAGCCCTTGTCAGCTTTGAAAGCCATTGACAAGATGATCGAAATGGGGGCAGCCGCAGACCCCAAGCTTCTGAAGGAGGCAGCAGAAGCACATCACAAGGCCATCGGGAGCATCAGCGGGCCAAATGGTGTGACTTCGCGCGCTGACTGGGATGCCGTGAATGCAGCCCTTGGCCGTGTAGTGGCTTCGGTCCCCAAAGCAAAGGTCATGGCCGTTTACGATTCAGTGAAAGCCATCACGGACCCCGGAGTGCCAGCTTACATGAAGTCCTTGGTGAATGGACCCGATGCCGAGAAGGCCTACCAAGGATTCCTGGAATTCAAGGATGTTGTTGAAAAGAACCAGGTGACCACCGCCAGTGCTCCTGCAGTTGTGCCTTCTGGGGACAAAATTGGTGTAGCTGCAAAGGCGTTGTCCGATGCATCCTATCCTTTCATCAAGGACATCGATTGGCTGTCGGACATTTACTTGAAGCCGCTGCCCGGCAAGACTGCTCCAGAGACGCTGAAAGCCATCGACAAGATGATAGTGATGGGTGCCAAGATGGATGGAAACCTCTTGAAGGCAGCAGCAGAGGCACACCACAAGGCCATTGGCAGCATTGATGCCACCGGTGTGACGTCTGCGGCCGACTACGAAGCTGTGAATGCAGCCATTGGCCGCTTGGTGGCATCCGTGCCGAAGACAACAGTGATGGATGTGTACAACTCTATGGCCGGAGTCGTTGATTCCACCGTCACCAACAACATGTTCTCGAAGGTGAATCCACTGGATGCAGTGGCTGCCGCCAAGGGCTTCTACACCTTCAAAGATGTTGTTGAGGCTGCCCAGCGCTGAAGGTGAAGACCATCAGAAGGAAGTTTCAATTGTTTAACATGCTCTAACACTTTTTTGATGTTGTATAGATACAGAATGTTACGGACATCTGTAACAGTTTCTTGACCCAGGCAAAAGGCTCTCAAGCACATGCAAAAAAGGGGAAAAACAAACACGCGCAACAAATAATGTCAGCTGCGATGCCAAACAAAGGAGTAAAAGTGAACGCTGCCAATTGCAGATTACTTTGACATGCTTGTACTTTCACAAAGTGCTGAATTTGGACACTGTATGTCATGAGTCATAAGCATTAATAATCTAGGATTCAGACATTTATGACGGCAAGATCGAAAGAGGTGCCTTTCTCTCTGTAGCCCTTCTTCGTGAACCTGTGGTGACTTACAGCACATACGTACGTAAGTTTAATACTGTATATAGTATATAGTTTAAACGGCACTCCTTGTATAGTTTTATACAGATGAATGATGCATACAGACGTTACAGTTGATTTACCAGATTGATGTTTGGGAATACTGTGTTGCCACCAGCCCAGCTCCACAAATGGATATGGGATGGAATTGGTGTGTGATTTGCGCAAAAGAAGCAGTTGCAGCAAGCTGGATCTCCATGTGATTGCGGACATCTGAGGGATTCAAATGCGTGTGTCAAGATCATGTTGTACCCGGAAATGTACCAACTCAAATGTCATTGGCTCAAGCCAATTTTAGCGGCTAGTTAGCTAGTTTTTGATCAACTCCGGCCCACTTTAAGACTTTTAAACTTTTGGTGGCCATGGTGCGTGGAGCAAGGAAAGCTATTGCTGTCGGAGTTGCGGTGGCTGTTGCATGCGGCCTGCAGAAGCACTTGAATTTTGTGCCTGGGCCTCGGCATGCTGCTCCAGTGGCCGCAGCAGCAGCGAGCATGATGATGGCTCCTGCGGCTTTTGCTGATGAGATCGGCGATGCTGCAAAGAAGCTTGGGGATGCCTCCTACTCTTTTGCCAAGGAAGTGGACTGGAACAATGGCATTTTCCTGCAGGCCCCTGGCAAGTTTCAGCCCTTGTCAGCTTTGAAAGCCATTGACAAGATGATCGAAATGGGGGCAGCCGCAGACCCCAAGCTTCTGAAGGAGGCAGCAGAAGCACATCACAAGGCCATCGGGAGCATCAGCGGGCCAAATGGTGTGACTTCGCGCGCTGACTGGGATGCCGTGAATGCAGCCCTTGGCCGTGTAGTTGCTTCGGTCCCAAAAGCAAAGGTCATGGCCGTTTACGATTCAGTGAAGGCCATCACGGACCCCGGAGTGCCAGCTTACATGAAGTCCTTGGTGAACGGACCCGATGCCGAGAAGGCCTACCAAGGATTCCTGGAATTCAAGGATGTTGTTGAAAAGAACCAGGTGACCACCGCCAGTGCTCCTGCAGTTGTGCCTTCTGGGGACAAAATTGGTGTAGCTGCAAAGGCGTTGTCCGATGCATCCTATCCTTTCATCAAGGACATCGATTGGCTGTCGGACATTTACTTGAAGCCGCTGCCCGGCAAGACTGCCCCAGAGACGCTGAAAGCCATCGACAAGATGATAGTGATGGGTGCCAAGATGGATGGAAACCTCTTGAAGGCAGCAGCAGAGGCACACCACAAGGCCATTGGCAGCATTGATGCCACCGGTGTGACGTCTGCGGCCGACTACGAAGCTGTGAATGCAGCCATTGGCCGCTTGGTGGCATCCGTGCCGAAGACAACAGTGATGGATGTGTACAACTCTATGGCCGGAGTCGTTGATTCCACCGTCACCAACAACATGTTCTCGAAGGTGAATCCACTGGATGCAGTGGCTGCCGCCAAGGGCTTCTACACCTTCAAAGATGTTGTTGAGGCTGCCCAGCGCTGAAGGTGAAGACCATCAGAAGGAAGTTTCAATTGTTTAACATGCTCTAACACTTTTTTGATGTTGTATAGATACAGAATGTTACGGACATCTGTAACAGTTTCTTGACCCAGGCAAAAGGCTCTCAAGCACATGCAAAAAAGGGGAAAAACAAACATGCGCAACAAATGATGTCAGCTGCGATGCCAAACAAAGGAGTAAAAGTGAACGCTGCCAATTGCAGATTACTTTGACATGCTTGTACTTTCACAAAGTGCTGAGTTTGGACACTGTATGTCATGAGTCATAAGCATTAATAATCTGGGATTCAGACATTTATGACGGCAAGATCGAAAGAGGTGCCTTTCTCTCTGTAGCGCTTCTTCGTGAACCTGTAGTGACTTACAGCACATAAGTAAGTTTAATACTGTATATAGTTTAAACGGCACTCCTTGTATAGTTTTATACAGATGTATGATGCATACAGATCTTACAGTTGATTTACCAGATTGATGTTTGGGAATACTGTGGTGCCACCAGCCCAGCTCCACAAATGGATATGGGATGGAATTGGTGTGTGATTTGCGCAAAAGAAGCAGTTGCAGCAAGCTGGATCTCCATGTGATTGCGGACATGTGAGGGATTCAAATGCGTGTGTCAAGATCATGTTGTACCCGGAAATGTACCAACTCAAATGTCATTGGCTCAAGCCAATTTTAGCGGCTAGTTAGCTAGTTTTTGATCAACTCCGGCCCACTTTAAGACTTTTAAACTTTTGGTGGCCATGGTGCGTGGAGCAAGGAAAGCTATTGCTGTCGGAGTTGCGGTGGCTGTTGCATGCGGCCTGCAGAAGCACTTGAATTTTGTGCCTGGGCCTCGGCATGCTGCTCCAGTGGCCGCAGCAGCAGCCAGCATGATGATGGCTCCTGCGGCTTTTGCTGATGAGATCGGCGATGCTGCAAAGAAGCTTGGGGATGCCTCCTACTCTTTTGCCAAGGAAGTGGACTGGAACAATGGCATTTTCCTGCAGGCCCCTGGCAAGTTTCAGCCCTTGTCAGCTTTGAAAGCCATTGACAAGATGATCGAAATGGGGGCAGCCGCAGACCCCAAGCTTCTGAAGGAGGCAGCAGAAGCACATCACAAGGCCATCGGGAGCATCAGCGGGCCAAATGGTGTGACTTCGCGCGCTGACTGGGATGCCGTGAATGCAGCCCTTGGCCGTGTAGTTGCTTCGGTCCCAAAAGCAAAGGTCATGGCCGTTTACGATTCAGTGAAGGCCATCACGGACCCCGGAGTGCCAGCTTACATGAAGTCCTTGGTGAACGGACCCGATGCCGAGAAGGCCTACCAAGGATTCCTGGAATTCAAGGATGTTGTTGAAAAGAACCAGGTGACCACCGCCAGTGCTCCTGCAGTTGTGCCTTCTGGGGACAAAATTGGTGTAGCTGCAAAGGCGTTGTCCGATGCATCCTATCCTTTCATCAAGGACATCGATTGGCTGTCGGACATTTACTTGAAGCCGCTGCCCGGCAAGACTGCCCCAGAGACGCTGAAAGCCATCGACAAGATGATAGTGATGGGTGCCAAGATGGATGGAAACCTCTTGAAGGCAGCAGCAGAGGCACACCACAAGGCCATTGGCAGCATTGATGCCACCGGTGTGACGTCTGCGGCCGACTACGAAGCTGTGAATGCAGCCATTGGCCGCTTGGTGGCATCCGTGCCGAAGACAACAGTGATGGATGTGTACAACTCTATGGCCGGAGTCGTTGATTCCACCGTCACCAACAACATGTTCTCGAAGGTGAATCCACTGGATGCAGTGGCTGCCGCCAAGGGCTTCTACACCTTCAAAGATGTTGTTGAGGCTGCCCAGCGCTGAAGGTGAAGACCATCAGAAGGAAGTTTCAATTGTTTAACATGCTCTAACACTTTTTTGATGTTGTATAGATACAGAATGTTACGGACATCTGTAACAGTTTCTTGACCCAGGCAAAAGGCTCTCAAGCACATGCAAAAAAGGGGAAAAACAAACACGCGCAACAAATAATGTCAGCTGCGATGCCAAACAAAGGAGTAAAAGTGAACGCTGCCAATTGCAGATTACTTTGACATGCTTGTACTTTCACAAAGTGCTGAATTTGGACACTGTATGTCATGAGTCATAAGCATTAATAATCTAGGATTCAGACATTTATGACGGCAAGATCGAAAGAGGTGCCTTTCTCTCTGTAGCCCTTCTTCGTGAACCTGTGGTGACTTACAGCACATACGTACGTAAGTTTAATACTGTATATAGTATATAGTTTAAACGGCACTCCTTGTATAGTTTTATACAGATGATGATGCATACAGACGTTACAGTTGATTTACCAGATTGATGTTTGGGAATACTGTGTTGCCACCAGCCCAGCTCCACAAATGGATATGGGATGTGGTGTGTGATTTGCGCAAAAGAAGCAGTTGCAGCAAGCTGGATCTCCATGTGATTGCGGACATGTGAGGGATTCAAATGCGTGTGTCAAGATCATGTTGTACCCGGAAATGTACCAACTCAAATGTCATTGGCTCAAGCCAATTTTAGCGGCTAGTTAGCTAGTTTTTGATCAACTCCGGCCGACTTTAAGACTTTTAAACTTTTGGTGGCCATGGTGCGTGGAGCAAGGAAAGCTATTGCTGTCGGAGTTGCGGTGGCTGTTGCATGCGGCCTGCAGAAGCACTTGAATTTTGTGCCTGGGCCTCGGCATGCTGCTCCAGTGGCCGCAGCAGCAGCGAGCATGATGATGGCTCCTGCGGCTTTTGCTGATGAAATCGGCGATGCTGCAAAGAAGCTTGGGGATGCCTCCTCTTTTGCCAAGGAAGTGGACTGGAACAATGGCATTTTCCTGCAGGCCCCTGGCAAGTTTCAGCCCTTGTCAGCTTTGAAAGCCATTGACAAGATGATCGAAATGGGGGCAGCCGCAGACCCCAAGCTTCTGAAGGAGGCAGCAGAAGCACATCACAAGGCCATCGGGAGCATCAGCGGGCCAAATGGTGTGACTTCGCGCGCTGACTGGGATGCCGTGAATGCAGCCCTTGGCCGTGTAGTTGCTTCGGTCCCAAAAGCAAAGGTCATGGCCGTTTACGATTCAGTGAAGGCCATCACGGACCCCGGAGTGCCAGCTTACATGAAGTCCTTGGTGAACGGACCCGATGCCGAGAAGGCCTACCAAGGATTCCTGGAATTCAAGGATGTTGTTGAAAAGAACCAGGTGACCACCGCCAGTGCTCCTGCAGTTGTGCCTTCTGGGGACAAAATTGGTGTAGCTGCAAAGGCGTTGTCCGATGCATCCTATCCTTTCATCAAGGACATCGATTGGCTGTCGGACATTTACTTGAAGCCGCTGCCCGGCAAGACTGCCCCAGAGACGCTGAAAGCCATCGACAAGATGATAGTGATGGGTGCCAAGATGGATGGAAACCTCTTGAAGGCAGCAGCAGAGGCACACCACAAGGCCATTGGCAGCATTGATGCCACCGGTGTGACGTCTGCGGCCGACTACGAAGCTGTGAATGCAGCCATTGGCCGCTTGGTGGCATCCGTGCCGAAGACAACAGTGATGGATGTGTACAACTCTATGGCCGGAGTCGTTGATTCCACCGTCACCAACAACATGTTCTCGAAGGTGAATCCACTGGATGCAGTGGCTGCCGCCAAGGGCTTCTACACCTTCAAAGATGTTGTTGAGGCTGCCCAGCGCTGAAGGTGAAGACCATCAGAAGGAAGTTTCAATTGTTTAACATGCTCTAACACTTTTTTGATGTTGTATAGATACAGAATGTTACGGACATCTGTAACAGTTTCTTGACCCAGGCAAAAGGCTCTCAAGCACATGCAAAAAAGGGGAAAAACAAACATGCGCAACAAATGATGTCAGCTGCGATGCCAAACAAAGGAGTAAAAGTGAACGCTGCCAATTGCAGATTACTTTGACATGCTTGTACTTTCACAAAGTGCTGAGTTTGGACACTGTATGTCATGAGTCATAAGCATTAATAATCTGGGATTCAGACATTTATGACGGCAAGATCGAAAGAGGTGCCTTTCTCTCTGTAGCGCTTCTTCGTGAACCTGTAGTGACTTACAGCACATAAGTAAGTTTAATACTGTATATAGTTTAAACGGCACTCCTTGTATAGTTTTATACAGATGTATGATGCATACAGATCTTACAGTTGATTTACCAGATTGATGTTTGGGAATACTGTGGTGCCACCAGCCCAGCTCCACAAATGGATATGGGATGGAATTGGTGTGTGATTTGCGCAAAAGAAGCAGTTGCAGCAAGCTGGATCTCCATGTGATTGCGGACATGTGAGGGATTCAAATGCGTGTGTCAAGATCATGTTGTACCCGGAAATGTACCAACTCAAATGTCATTGGCTCAAGCCAATTTTAGCGGCTAGTTAGCTAGTTTTTGATCAACTCCGGCCCACTTTAAGACTTTTAAACTTTTGGTGGCCATGGTGCGTGGAGCAAGGAAAGCTATTGCTGTCGGAGTTGCGGTGGCTGTTGCATGCGGCCTGCAGAAGCACTTGAATTTTGTGCCTGGGCCTCGGCATGCTGCTCCAGTGGCCGCAGCAGCAGCCAGCATGATGATGGCTCCTGCGGCTTTTGCTGATGAGATCGGCGATGCTGCAAAGAAGCTTGGGGATGCCTCCTACTCTTTTGCCAAGGAAGTGGACTGGAACAATGGCATTTTCCTGCAGGCCCCTGGCAAGTTTCAGCCCTTGTCAGCTTTGAAAGCCATTGACAAGATGATCGAAATGGGGGCAGCCGCAGACCCCAAGCTTCTGAAGGAGGCAGCAGAAGCACATCACAAGGCCATCGGGAGCATCAGCGGGCCAAATGGTGTGACTTCGCGCGCTGACTGGGATGCCGTGAATGCAGCCCTTGGCCGTGTAGTTGCTTCGGTCCCAAAAGCAAAGGTCATGGCCGTTTACGATTCAGTGAAGGCCATCACGGACCCCGGAGTGCCAGCTTACATGAAGTCCTTGGTGAACGGACCCGATGCCGAGAAGGCCTACCAAGGATTCCTGGAATTCAAGGATGTTGTTGAAAAGAACCAGGTGACCACCGCCAGTGCTCCTGCAGTTGTGC